CTAGCAGTGGTGACCTCCCAAAACTCTAATTGGTCGCTTTTAAGCACAAGTTGGCTATCCCGAAAATTGCTGTTTTGAGAAAATTGAAGGTAAAGGTTTTGCCCCTTGTTCAGTTTCATTAAAAAACAAGGAGAGTTTTCTCAATAACCAAACAAATATACACACTAAGGAAACCAAACTTCTCCTATAGGACAGGTAGGGCAATGCCCACTTTTGGTGTAGGTCAAGGTTTATGGGAACTCCCGAAATCTGGGTTAGCCCGCCTGTCCTTAAAAGTGACCAATTGTCATTTAATTTTGTCTGTGTGCAGTACATGTACCTGACCAAGATTTTGATAGATCTCAATAGTGTGAAGGTTTTTTCTGCTCCACTGTAGGAATATTTCCTTGACATGAAAATAAGTAATATTTCTAGGTGGATGATTGGAGGGCACCACTGTGGGTTCCATTTCTTGGATTACTCTCTGTTGTTTCTGCCTGTCTGTCTTGCTTTTCCCCCGCTCTAAATGACCCTTACTTACTGTGTTGATCTGGATCGATAACAACAACAACAACAACAACTGGATTGATATTGTGTTGATGTTTTCTTTACTCAATCAAATAAACAAACAAGTTCAGTCGAGGAAAAGAAACACTAAAGGTCTGGCACTTGATGACTGAGGTGGGATACGTCATCATTCCCCTTCCTTATTTATGCAAAGCCAACACAGAGAATTATTTATTTGTGGGTGGTTGATGGGTGCTCTGGTGTGGTTTGCTTCTTCTTTCCTATCAAACATCCATCTATCGTCTTTATATCCCCTCCTTCCTTGTTGTGTTTGTTACTCTCTTGTAACACATCATCTTCTGCACTTATATGACCTTGTTGTGTTGCAAGTGCGTAAAACGCTGACTAAAACTAAATTATTTATCTTATCTGAGTTGGTTTGTGGTGTATTGCAAATCAACAAGATAATGGCCACATTGTTCCGGAAGGCAAATTAGGGAAATAATAATAGGAATCTAATTAGGATTGGAGAAGTAGTAATAGAAGGAGAAGACCACACTTGTGCTTCTGCCAGCTACTGGTCAGGCCTACTTACACTCCAAGAAATAAGACCAAAGTGGACTGATAATACTAATATATAATTAAATGCTTTTTCCCAAAGTCACCACCGTGCATTTTTCCTATGGTCTATGTTTAGAAGTTCACACATCGCGACCCCAGTGCTTTCTTATCGTATCTCCATTTTTTAATAGCAGTGAAAACAGTTCATAACAAAGAGTGAGACTGAGAAGATGTCACAGTCACATTTCCACTGTTATGAAAAATGGAGATACAAGAAAGTACTGAGGTTGCGACATATGTAGGAAGGGAACAAGATAAAGACAAGTCCATGTGGATTTGCTAAACCAGAATAAATCGCTTTTCCTTTAGCTGGCCCCGTGGTTTTTCTGCAAAAAAAATTCTGAAATTATGCTGACTGAGCCCCTAAATATGAAATTATGCGATTCTGTTTATTTTAACAAAGAATGATAAAGGAAAATAATCAGAAATTATGAAAAAAATGATCAAATTTTGCTAAATTGTGCGGGGTGCATAAAACCATGGGGACAGCTTTAGACAGCCAAAGCTGAAAGCATCCTGATCCCCGTTGTTTGTTGACGTAGGGCAGAAAGCCCTTTCCTATCCAAAGAGAGGTAGAACCGTGTGACACATCTTAGTCCAATACAGAGTACCGGTCAGGTTTCCATCTGTCTTCTCGAATCATCTTGTTCAAATAAAGTACAATATGTGAGGCAGCGTGGTGGAATCAGGCTCTCATAAATTTTTGGGCATGTAGAGTTATTGGTATCATCTTAAAGCTTGTTCACTTGTCTTTATGTGGATGAAAATAATATCCTTTTATCTTGAATACAAGTCGAGATATTTGCGAAAGAAGGAGGTAGGGGTCACCTGTTTTCAGAGGTAAAATTAGAGAGAAAATGTCCGCCAAAGATTAGTTATTTTCTTAGCTTCAGAGTCCATGGTAACTGAAAATTTACATTTTTTGTGCCTTTAATCAATGTTTTTCCAGAAAATTCACAAAGAAATGAGTTCTTTAATGGGCATGAAAGGTGTTCATCCGAAAAACAAAAATTCGATAAAAATTCACAAACCTGCGGAAAATGCAAGTTTCTTCATTTTGATTATTTTGACGAGAGCCTGATTCCACCACGCTGCCTCACATATATGTGTCCAATGTTTGATTTCTTGCATTCCATCCTTGTGATATACATGTACATGTATTTTGTCGTATAGTATTGAAGATGTTTGCACAGCAAGGCTTGTTTTCTTTTCTTACTTAGTCAATAGTAGTACGGGTAGCATGTCAGGTTAAAGAAGTGGGTGGTTGGAGGGTGCTCTGGTGTGGTTTGCTTCTTCTTTCCTATATGAAACATCTATTGTCCTTATCTCCCCTTCTTCTTTTCTATGTTTGTTACTCTCTTGTAACGCCTCTAATCTTCTAACGCTCATACAACCTTATGCGGTTGCGAGTGCCGTAAAACCTCTACTAAAACTAAAAAGGTTGAAGAAGATCAAGTATAAAAACAAGCAAAAATGTTTTCCCTTTTTTTTCTAACTTTAATCTTGATCATAATTCATATTCTTGGGTATAACATCACAGTGTTGTATTTTAAAAAATATATAAATATTATAAAGGATGGCATAACAAACATGTATGAAGCAATGTTATTGATTTCATTATTGTGCGTTACTTAATAATTTATGATAGACCTAATGAAAAAAGTGTTTTTGTGCAGAATGCAAATGTTTTGATACTTTCCACAACAATGGTCACTGAAATCAAATGTACCAACATGTATTCTAACGGCGGGACAGTTTTGAATAAAAATATTTAACAGTATGTTTGACAAAATTTTCATATATTGTATATTTTTAATGGAACATTGTGAAAATTGCACATACCCACAGTGAAGGCCTAGGCAATGACCAGTGAGCCGCTTTTTTTTAGAATAAAGGCAAAAGTAAAGCTTCACATTATCTATGGAATACCTGTTTATTGAATACAAATGATGAGCTTTAAATAGAAATAGGTGTTAGCTCATATAGTTTTTAATTGTTCAAAACTGTATACATTACAATTGACCAATGTCAACTTGAGAGCTTGTTTAACTTGAAATGCTTCCTTCTGCAGTTCCTTTCCTGTTGTATACTCCATTATAATGTATTATTTGTAATGTTATTTTACATTCAGTTCTAGTATTGGAAACATTTCTTTTATTAGGAAACCCTTTTCCTTTAGGCAAGCGGTGAACTCATATGTAAGAACGTTATTATTCATATCTGAGTGGAGCTGAGCAAATGATATTATGGTTTTATATATAAGCACTGATGCAAATAATTTTGATAATCAATTTTGTTTGCAATAGATTGTACTGATCTAACTATTATAACCTTACAGTTTTAAAGCATAGGGTTTGAAAGTCTCCATCATGTTTTTAGTGCAGTGAAAAATGACATGACCCCTGTGAAAAAATACTTCCCTCTGTGAATTGTATGACTATGATCTTATCTTTATGCAGGAAAAAACTAAAGTGAACGAGGAAGGTTTGATAGTGTTAGAAAAGTCCTCCGTAAACATACGGTGCGACAATTCTGTCTCAACATGCTTGCTACATCCTGGTTTGAATTTGAAGTAATTACATGTCCCATTGTCTAACAATTTACAATCTTGAGTTTTGCGCTTTTGACTGTACATGACATACATTTTCATATCACTTAATTTCATACTCATGAAAAAAAAGAAAGTGCGCTGAGAAATCAAATATTGGAATCACATGTGACATATCAATTTTGAATAGAAAATTCACTCCTTTTCTAGAGCATACTCACATATCAGCAAAGAAGAAGTCATGAAGATAAATTATTTACATGTAAGTACTGTATTCATTTTTGCACAAAAATGTCCATCTTATGTCCTGTTAAGTACCCTAATTTCCAAATTCATAAAATCTTGACACAAATTGTGATTATCAACAGGGCACTGACAGGAGCTCTTACAGAGATGAAATTATAGACCATCATGAGATACCCTTTCTTTAGATACATATATGCCTCACTTGTTTTTCAACAAGACAGCGCAAGACTGTACGTGACCTGTGTTGTGACTGAACGACTTACTCTAGAACAGTTGCAATTTCCTCGATTGGCTAGCTGTATCATCAGCTCTATCCTCTATTGGATATCTGTGGGATGAGCTGGGAAGGCCACTGTGACAACAACCAAACTAAAACTAACCCTTAACATTAGATGAATTTGAGCAATGGCTAGAAAGAATCTGGCTGCAGGTCCCCCTGTAGTTTATCCGACAACCTGATCTTTTCCGTGCATCTGTGGTGTCAATCAGTCATCAATGTGGCCAGTGGTCCCACGTGGTACATGTATACCGATTTTGTGAATTTGTAAACTGGGGTGTTCAACTTGTGATGGATATCTTTGCGCAAAAATGAACACTTCAATGGAGATTATTAATCCTCATGACTTTTTCTTTGATGCGTGTCCTCTAAAAAAGGAATGGATTCTCTAAGGGAAATATATTTGTTAGTACAATTTTGATTTTTATGTACAGTTTCTTTTGTTTGTGAGTATATGTTTTTGCCAACTACCTGCTGCAAACTTTCGGAACATTCATGTAACTTAAAGTAAAGAAAGTAATGTTTATTGTCTGGTCGAAAGCATTTAATTTGGCATAACCAAGTAAGTTGATATGTTGTTTTTTTCCTCATCACGCCAGTTCATGAAAAGCTTTACATCAGCAGCAAGTTGGTCTTCATCATGATTGTTAGATTTAATTTATAAATCTGTGTTGTTGGTTGAGTTTTTTAATGAGTTCTGAGCAAAGAACTTTGGTTTGTTGAGCCATGCAGTTATTGAGTTGTGCAATACACAAATTTTCTCCCACCATTTGTCTCTCTTACAACTTATATGAGCATGACACAAAAAGACAAAAATAAGAATGAATTTTCCAAATGCAGTTTATTATCACTGTTCAGTCAGGCCTCCTCTCATAAAATCAAAATGAGTATTTCATACACCACAAATCATAGGGAAATAATTTCTCATGTTATGATTCTGACCTGAAATATTTCATGCCCATCGACACAATAAAAATCATTTAAAAGGCAAGCGACTTCCATCCTTCTAATCTGGACTGTGCGAGATACATTCAAGCAGAAAGAAGGATACATTTGTACTTGATAAAATATCTTCCTAACTTAAACTCTCAAGTCGAAAAGTGTTACCATGTACCACATGTCTGTGCTCTTTCAAATCAAAATTTAATTATCATACCACAGATGCTTGCACTTTTTAATCAAATAGGCCTACACTCACAAATTAAAATTGCATGACAATAGTAATGTAACTATAACAAATCTCTTCCAGACAGGCAAAACAAGGTCTATGTTCCAGTGAATAAAGTTACATGGTTTCCAGTGCATCAATAGAAGTAAAGAGTATAATTATGTGCTTATGCCTGAGGCCTCATATTGAGGCAATGGACTGTCCCCGTGGTTTTATGCACCCCGCATAATTTAGCAAAATTTGATAATTTTTTGCATAATTTCTGATTATTTTACTTTATTATTCTTTGTTAAAATTAACAGAATCGCATAATTTCACATTTTTGGGCTCAGTTTGCATAATTTCTGAATTTTTCTTGCATAAAAAGACGGGGACAGATTGGAAGAAGACAGCTGCATGATATTGGCATCAAAAGATCAACAGTGTCAGCACCATGATGAGTTTATCCCTGACATCAACGGTTTGAATGTCCACTGCCTTGGTACAAAATGCACATTCTTGACATTGTTTTACATCCCCATAGACACAATTTAGATCACTTAGAAGGCCGGCTTCTGACTCCGTCTGTCGTCAGGGCCAACCAGGGCTCAGAAGGATACAGCATCCCAGCAGAAAGACTGAGATACTTCTACAGTAGTCTCCGGCTAAATGCACGCCATACAAAAGCACGCTCTGCCCAAACGTACGCGTTTGTCTTCGGACGGGTTTTTTACTATAATATAATTTAGACGTACACACGCACGGTTACTTGCTCTAAATGCATGCTCTGACCTGCGAAACACGCCGACAGGTTAAGCTTGACAAAGGGAAATTTTCACTACAATCTGCACAGCTTGCTTAAGACAAGTCGAGAAAACTGGATATTTGGCACTTACATGACCTTATTGTGTTGCAGGTGCCGTAAAAATCTTACTACAACTAAAAAGGAAATAAATATCATAGGCTTTGGTCTGAAAAAGTGAAAAGCCCAGTGGGTAAAGCCTACCTTCACACAAAATCTTCTTTCTGATACAAGCGTCTCTCAAAATAGAAATATATTACAAAACAAGTTCAAGGAAACATAACATATAACGACTAATTCTGACTTTTGCCATGAAAGAAAAAATGGAAGTCCTTTATTGTAATTGCCCATTTGGTCGTACACAGCCATCAGCCACCTTCACTTTTCTCAGTCCACTGGCAGGTTGGACAAGTCAAGACAGGCCTGGACCTACACAAACACAGTCGCTGGATCTCGCAATACTAAGAACATACGCAAAATACTCATATGACATCTATTCATTATCAGGTTTTGTCAATAAATGTCTAGCCTTCTTCACTCTGGGGGAGAGTACTCTGAGTCAGCTTGTTCAGGTTGTGGGTGTTAGCCTGGGACAAAAAGTCCAACCACTTCTCATCCTCAGCGACGGTCAAGCTGCTGTCCCTGAAATACAAAATTTGGTACTCTGTGAGTTAGCAGAAACCTTTGAGTATGTTTTAGTTTTAGTTAGCATTTTACGGCACTTGCAACACAATAAGGTCATATAAGTGTCGAAGATTAGAGGTGTAGTAACACAAAAAAGAAAGAGGGGAGATAAAGCCGATAGACATTTGACAGGAAAAAAGAAGCAAACCACACCAGAGCACCCGCCAACCACCCAAATTTGTTACTCTGTGAGTCAGCAGAAACCTTTGAGTATTATAAAGAACAAAACAAAAATGAAACAAACAGAGAGACTCCTCAGGAGCTTAAAGGATTGCTAGAAAAAGAAATGCGCATACTTCATGGCTTGAAAGAAACAGACAAACACCTGCAAAGAAGAAATTTGAACCATCTCAAGGATTCATTTTCAAAATCATTGTCATGACAAGAGGCACATCCGGCCACATAGCTCTGTTATCTGTTCATTCTCAATATAGGAATAGACAGCTAAATGAACAAAATTGAAAAAAAAAAGGACTACTCCCATTCTATATATTAAAAGTATGCACTTCATCTCTTCTTTTCCTACTCTTCCTGCGCTAAAAAATAATGACCTACATTCATTCTACACCATACTGGTATGCTAAAACACCTCTCTAGCTTCAATAGCACAAAGTCTGCTTCGACTATCAAGGCACCTCCGGAAACAGTGGGTCACAAGAGTGTGACAAACAAACAAAAGAAGTAGAGGAAAAATGACGATAGTAAGGATGAATTAAAGAAAAAGCAGCAGTTCCCTGTTGCAGTTCAGGCACAGTTATGAGCATGACATTTATAAATCAGCCCATTTACAAGTACAATTCTACTGTGCATAAGGACTTCCCCTTGGGAATGGCCTAAAGACACTTCAGTCAGTGGTACCGCCCCTGGGGGTGGTTTCATTGTTCAATTCATCTCAGTACAAACAAACAAATCAATGAAAATATGAACGTACCTGAGAAACTTGAGAATCTGACCATTCAGCTGAGAAAGCACTTTCCCCTGTAAAAATAAAAAGACAAACATGGAGGTCCACCAAAGCAAAACAGAACATTCAAATGTCCACGAGAATCCATTTGAAAAGTTAAAATCTATACAAATGTTTGCCGAGACATTGTCATGACCAGTTCTGCGCGCTTTCTACACCAACACATTTAAAGCTTGAGTTCATCAAGACTTGAATGATCCATCCTTCACCAAAAAAAAACCCTCCTAGTCATTTTTTTTTTTTTAGTAAGAGTTTTACGGCACTTGCAACACAATAAGGTCATATAAGCGCCGAAGATTAGAGGTGTTACAAGACAGTAACAAACATAAAAAAGAAGGATGGAAGATAGAGACTATAGATTTTTTATAGGAAAGAAGGAGCAAACCACACCAAAACTCCCGCCAACCACCCACTCTCCCAGTCAAAACATCAAAGCAGTTACAACAGTTCACCAAATGGACCAATAGGTAGAAATATGAGTTTTAGTTGAGCCTGAATTTTTTTCTCCTCCTTGGGGATTTTTTCCGAGCCGATGTCCTATCAAGGAAGTGGAAGCAAGTGCCTTGCCATTGTCTGTGACCACTAGGGAGTTCATTAACACTTTTCACCTACACGGCGCCCAGAGCACGAAACACTTATCCCCACGGACTAGGATACAGGTGCGGTACATGCCATATCACACCGGCGCCGATCGGCGTCCCGTGGGGAAAAGGGACGGTTCTTACCGCCCCCCCCGGAGGGGCATAGTGTTATAGGTCCCACCTGGCTGTGATGATTTTCAGAAATTACTGCACTGTTACCATAAAGAATATCATATAAGAAAATGGGGGCATCAACAGCAGCAGGTATTCAAAAAATTATCTGAAACATTGCCTATTTCTAAATTCTTAAGTTTTCAGGAAAAGTTAAATGACAAATTGGCACAATAATGGCCATAATAGGAACTGGTAATAACAAAATTTAGCAAAATTGAAAAAAAGTAGCAAAAGCAGACCCATCCTTGACCATCCATAAAAAAAAAAACCCTGAATGGAAGAGACCCCTAAATAAGAGACCAGTAAAAATCAATAGAAATAACTCATGGTACTTCAGGAACCTTAACACAATACAAAGTTAACAACACTCACATTCTGCTTCAGTGATGCGTAGTTGATGGGAGCATAAATGCCGCAGACAAAGTCATCCACTGAGCGGCTTACATCCCGGACAAAATCCACGAGTTCATCCAACACTCTCACTCCTTCTGGACTATCCACCGTGCTGTGCTTACGAACACTTTCTTTTGACTTCTTGAGGATAGTCTTTGTGGCCTTCACCTGATAATGGTTGATAAAGCCATACCTGTTAAAGACAATTTTACTGCAAACAAAGGAAATAAATCCTGTTACAATTTATTAAAAAAATCCCCCCCCCCCAAGACATCTTTTATAATTACTTCGAAGAGCCATGGGAAAAGATTTCAATCAAACAAAGAGAGGGGGAATAAACATTACCAGCTCATATCGAGTAGCATAAAATTTTACGACAAAACATTACGATCACAATCACAATTTTAGCCACAATGTAGTCCATGACAAAAGTAACGCAACGAGAAATGGAAGGAGTATATGTAACTAATTCACCAACCATGCTCAGTTGAACATATAAAACACTGATCATAATGATATTACTGAAGTGCAAGGGTCTATAAGATGTAGAGCTAGTCATTCTGCACCCCAAAAAAACAAACCCAAACCAAAAACAAAAAAAACCCAACAATAAAAGGAAAACAAAGCACATTTTGAGGAGATTTGATTCAATCAAAAGCAATGTCAGTACACCTTGAGAAGTGAGCAATAGAACAGTTAAATGACAAACAAGAGCAGGCAAAGGACATCTATTTTCATGGTAATAATAAGTTAAAAAAGTAAAAAGTTCTTTCATTTACCAGTAGTATTTATTTATAAAGCTTTCAGCACTGAGATGACGTTTGCTTCATTTATGTAATTCTTCAGTTCCTTCATTCAAACAGTTTTGAAAATAAAATAAACGGTTCACTTGAAATTTAAATGAATTCAATTTAACTTTAACTTACAGCATTTGGAGAGTTCTAACAAGTTTTCTTCCATCCATATGATGTTTGTTTGTTTTAGTAGAGGTTATATGGCGCTCGCAACTGCATAAGGTCATATGAGCGCCAGAAGATTAGAGGTGTTACAAGAGAGTAACAAACATAAAAAAGAAGGAGGGGAGATAAGGACGATAGATGTTTGACAGGAAAGAAAAAGCAAACCACACCAGAGCACCCGCCAACCACCCACATCCATATGATGGAAATTGTTCTTGAAAAAAAAAAGTGCTCCATGTTAACAAGAATTAAAACCAGAAGGCATGAACATGGGTGCTGAGTCTGAATTTTGTTAACATTAGCAGCAAGTACAGATCTAACCATTACTTGATGTGTAAATCAAAGAAAGTGACACAAAGAGATGCCGCTGTGAATGCAATAGTCAGGACATTAAGTACGTATACTGACCAGTCCAGTACAAGCCTTCACCACCTCTTTGTCTTGCTCTGACCACACTGCATCATTAGTTATTACACCATCGTCTTCCCCCATGAAGTCTTCTGCTTGCCCGTCATTTTCAGTAGCCTGTAGATACAACGGTTGCACGCTTGGAGAAACTTCTATTGCCGAAAAAAACACATAATTTCATACAAGACGATAAAAAACTAAAAATTCACAGCACATGGTAAACCTACTATGTACCTAGCTGTCAACAACTTTTTGTGGACATGATCGGTTCAGATGGACCAACAACTCATGCAATAAAGTTGTCAAAGAAATGAATGACATTCATCATATTTGCAGGGTCCCCACCAAATCCTGGAAAATTTTTTCAAGACCCCCAAATTTTTTTCAAGACCCCAATTCGAGGGAAAAATCAGGCCGCTGCGCGTCAAGAATGATCCCCAAAAAAGCCCATCTATCAATGATAAAAAAACAAAATGTCTATAAATGAATGCAAATGTACATTTTGTAGTATAGTCTTCAAACAATAGATGACTATAATACTAAGTGACTGCCAACCCAGCTTCTCAATTTTCCAAGGGAGGGGCCTCATCCATTTTCCAGGAACACGTTACATAACAATGAAAGCGTGTGCTCCATTTATATCTAATATAATACATGTACAATGTATATGTTTGTGAATACACACACACATACACACACACACACACACACACATGTAGGTACATTATATCCAGTCAACAACATGTCAGTGTGGCACTGGGATCTTGAGAGACTTTGGTATTTCAGTCTGTTTTTACTTATTTATATTTTCCCCTCATCATATTAGCCAACATAAGAAACTATAGGCCCTATATAAAAAATGAATCCTGTTTTAAGCCTGAGAAAAGACCTAGAACTAGAATATCGACTGTCAAATAACCAGTCTGGGTGTCATGATTCATATAATAAACGTGAAGACGAAAACCATTGCTGCAACTCAAAGAAGAGTAATATTAGTAATAACTTGAATGGCTCAAGTACACCTATTCAGTGTGAGAGGTGCAAGAACTGGGGTGGGGGGGGGGGGGGGCACAAGATGCAGTGACACTGAAAATCTGCCAATCTTGAACAGAAAGCGGCACCCAGAAAGCTAAAACATAATCTAGATATAAATCATAACCACCCCATCCAATGAAACGCGAACACTTTAGTTCAATAACAAGGCATGACGGATCCGGATTCCACACAAGGCCTGCACCAACGCGCGCTTTGCAGAGAGCTCTAAAATAGTTATCAAAATGCTAAAAATTTGCTTCCAAGTTCAGTTTTTGTCCTCTAGCGTTGCCTTCACCCCCCCCCCCCCCAAATCCCCTTCCACGTGTGTATCTTATAAAGGAGTCCTATACTTCACAGCGCTCAGACCGGCGGTACTCACAGGTTCATTGACCGGTCACGAGGGCGAACCTGTCAAGACGCTTGTATAAGTTCTTTTTCGTTTTTTTTCCCACAAGCGACAGCAGAGGGCAATTTTTAATATTGATTTATTTTCAAGGCGACACAGCGTTCATAATGCACAACCTGCATGTTACAAATGTTGCGTTATCTATCAGACTATTACCGGAAAATTTCTGGGTGGTAACGAAAGCGAAAGTAGATCTTGATTCTTCCCGATCGAGCCTCGGTGTCACACATATACTTCCACCACAGCGGTTCAATTACGTTTCCTCTTCAGGATTTATCAACCATACAGTCTAGATAGCTACACATTACACAGGCCCTATCCTTTCCCGACTTACCCACCCATCACAAAATTCCCGACTTTTTCCCGACCTCCCGACCCATCTCAAAATTCCCGACTTTTTCCCGATTTCCCGACCCTGTATTTGAAGTTTCTGGTGGTAAAGGAATGCTCGAAGACCACAAGTTGCCGAGACGCCCTTGGCACTGTGTGTAATACATGATATTTCATTACAGTATGGTCACTGTGGCTGAGTGGGAAGTGAGCTCAGGCTCACAATAATTTTACCCATTACCACCTAGATTGACTAAAGTTGACCACTGCTTGAACCCTCCTGTGTGTCTATATTGATCATTGTTGCACAGTTGTTTCGAGTTCACGACCAGCCAGTCAGTACTTTCCTGTCACTGACTATAAATTATACTTCAAAGGAAACATCATTCAACTAACTTTGTCAGTATGGTTTTCTGTTCCACGAGATCTTCTGGTTTCTGCAGATACTTCCAGACTCACATTGAGAAACTAATTTAAAAGAAAGTTACAATCATTTGAATCAGACGCTTTAGATATTATTGACAGTTTCCAAAATGATGAACTATATGGCTATCATCCCGGAAGAAAAACCGACACACTTGATAAAAATTCTCCCCACTCGGGAATCGATCCTGGGTATCCTATATGGACAGCGAAGCGCCTATACGCTACACCACAGAAGGCGGTTATGTACAATATGGAAAAACAGGCAAAATATCAAATTCATCTCTTTATCAGTCAGAAGGAAGAATGATATAAACATGGTAGGTATTTACCTGTTCGATTTCCCCAAAGGCATCTTCTACCAACTCAGACGTATCTTTCAGGCTCTTCAAGGCACATTCCCGATTATCTGTGAAGCAAAACAGACAGCAAAGTGCTGTTGATGCTCAAACTGAAAGAAAACGTAGACACAGACAAGCACCATAACCATTTACCCCCTGGAGCACATTTGCGGGGCGTCTATCGACTCGCTACAGGAGTGATGTCGCGCAGCTTTTAACTGAGCTCTGTGCCACCACTTTCCGAAGAGGAAATTTACTCATTAATCCGATCCGCACGCTTTGCATAGCAGTCTGTGAAAATGATTTTTTGAGAAATAGTGAAAGTTTCAAAGAGATCTTCGGACTAAAAGTATTCTAAAATGTGAAAAATACAACTGCGGGGGTACAAAATGACCACAGGGCGTAGGGGTAGGGTTAAATTGCCGAACACATGCCAGACACGTTCATGGTATGCATTTCTATCAGGTCTAGGTAGCATGTCAGAGTCAGATTAGCGATGACTGAAAATGAGGCTACAAAATGAAAGAAGAGTCATTCTCCTTTCTTATGAGTATCTGAATGGTTGATATCCCCCCACAAATAGCGCATGTGTAAACTTTTACAGTAAATATGACGACATGGAGGGTGCAATGGAGTTTAAACTTAACAAATCAAAGGAAACATTGAAAATACAGATATTTAAAAAAGTTAATGACTAGGTTTTTCATTTTACTTGTTCACTTAAAGTAAGAACTGTTTTGTTACTGGCACTTATTTCACTTAGCAAAGCTTTTTTCCGTATCAAAGACACCAAAATGCCTCTTATTTGAAACCAAACTACATTGATTTAGAAAGTCGAAAACAGTGCACATTGCTGGCTCAGTGCCTGTAATTATCTACACCAAAACCTCATTTTCGCTTTAACGAACACTCCGATTCAACTAAATTGATGGCCAGGTCTGACCACTTAGTTGAATCCGAGTTCCAATGTACCTTTCAACAGTATAAAACCTGCTGCCTCCCACACACCACCAGTCCACTGCAGTCTTCCGCTGTGTCTGTGTAGACAAATGAAGTAGCATTTCATTTTCATTCTTTTTTTTTCAAACAAAATAAAGGGTTTTTTAGAGCACCAACAGGCCCAGCTTTGACAAAAAATATGCCCCCCCCCAAAAAAAAAAATTTAAAAAAATTGTTCGGGAATTGTGAAAGGTAACTTTTCGTAGAAAATGATTCACATAACTTTTAACAAAACTCTGCTTGAACCATCAATCAACAGATGAGATGCATTTCAGGTTTTCATAAACAGTCGAGACATTATCATTCTTGTTCTAAAACTGTGAACCTCTAATACCTATGCAATGTAACTTATTCACAATAGTCTTGAAGTGTCTTCAGAAAAATCTTTGGAACAGCAGCATAACTTATTTTTTCTGTTCATATCCCTGTCGTACACATTCGTATCATTCATATGCCTGTCGTACACATTCGTATCATTCATATGCCTGTCGTACACATTCGTATCATTCATATGCCTGTCGTACACATTTGTATCATTCATATGCCTGTCGTACACACCAACCTTCCCCCATTCTAAAAAAACCCAGAACAAATTACAATTGTAAAAATACAATTTCTTTCTCAGAACAGGACTTTACCGATTCACTGCAGTGAGCTTTATAAACTAAAAAGAGTAGAGCAAGAAGGTAGGAGGGTAATGTGTGATGAAACCATATTGTAGCTTACAGTGGGGGCTGTCGTGGCCTAGAGGTTAAGGTGTTTGCTTCTCATTTTAAGGTCCTGGGCTCGAATCCTGGTAGCGACCGAAAAAGTTTCTTCTCTAAAATTGTCTTCTTTCACCCTCTTTCCTTCTCTCTTGCAATATTCTGTCGTCTGCTTTTGTCTCCACTTTCTTCCCACACCCCCTTTGCCCTCTCCTCTGGCCTACTGACTCTTTCTGCAGCCTTACTACTGCTACTCCTTGGCTCCTTCTTACTACTGTCTTTCAGCCACACCCCTGATCTTCTGGTACGAAAAATTTACACCTAGCCTTCTCGGACAAGGACGAAAAATCTTGGAGGTCTTGTGTGCAAGTTGCGCACGTTAAAGATCCCTTGATGGTCCAAAATCGATAAGAGTAGGCTTAGGTCGCCACCCTGGCAAAATTCAAAATTTATTACAAATTGAAAATGTTTGGTGTGTCCTGCGTGCTCATATGACCTTGTGCAGTTGCGAGCGCCATAAAACACTTACAAAAAAAAAAAAGAAGCTTACAGTGACATGTATGATATAGGAAAAATGAGAGAAATCGGGTGCAAGCTTGTGTTAGCAATGCCACACTGTCGGTACATAACAGAGGCAAAACTGGTTTTAAAAAAAAAACTGACAAATCACAGCATATGCTTTTAAAAAGAAAATTGCTCTCTATTGTGCAACAGCAATCATTAGGTCTTGCAAAGTAAAACCATTTCATAACGAAAAAGTGTCAAGGAGGACTCATTCTTCATATTCTGTATACATCCAAGAGAGGAGTGGCGACGAAGACCCCCCCCCCTCCCCCCCAGCGACATGAGCAAACTGAGATAAAAGGAAAGTAATACCGTACTTGTCATCTGGCTGCAGACAGCTCGATAAAGCAGACACAAAGCCTGCCAAACTGTCCAGGACCTGCAAGACAGCAGCTTGAAGATGTCGACGCAGACTGGCTCCTGAGAAGAGAAAACATTACCCATAACTTGTATAATGTAAGACTGGGATTCATCATCATTAATCCAACCTGTCTGTGCAAAAAACGACTACCCCTCTGTTCCCCCTACCTGATGGTACTCCTGTTGTTACACTACTTTCTCCCAATCAATCCCTCATGCAATGTTTCAACCTTTTTTGAATTCTTCTTCATCCTCACCTTTCGCGTACCCTACTTTCTAAAATAAAGAAACAGCGCCCAAGAAGCAAATAAGGCAGATGCAATATTTTTCACCACGTGAAAGAAAAAATGTTCGAGCAAAAACATAGAAATATAAATGACATCTCGAAAAACAACTAGAATACATTAATAATTTCAGAGATTACCTTGAGCCACTGGCAAAGAGTAGTACGCGGACACCAAAGTCAGCATTCCTTTCTCGAGTTCTTGAGCCATCTGTTGTGTATTCTTTGGATCAGAAAACAATAAGAACAACAAAACAAATAAATAAATATGATAAATATAACACATTTGAAAAGGAATATAAAGGCACAATTCAATCTTTTTACAACTCATTACATCTAGATGACATCTCACAGTACAAGTATTCAATTCCAAAACTTTAATTTCAAGATCTATGCATGACAGTTTTTGTTGTTGTTTTAGTAAGAGTTCTACGGCACTTGCAACACAATAAGGTCATATAAGTGCTGAAGGTTAGAGGTGTTACAAGAGAGTAACAAACACAAAAAAGAAAGAGGGGAGATAAAGACTATAGACGTTCAATAGGAAAGAAGAAGCAAACCATACCAGAGCACTCGCCAACCACCCACATTCCAAGACTTTAATTTTGAGATCTAAATCTAATCATGACAGTTTGAAAGGAGAGGAACAAAGACAGCTGACACGTATGGACCAGGTTCAAACGTCTGTCTTTCATTACACCAGATACGCTAGCAGAATCAATGCAACTTCGGATTATGGACAACACCCCCCCCC